TTTCTAGTTGGTTGTAAAATATTAAAACTCATTAACTTCATGACTAACTTACATCTCTACGATCAAACTTTTTGTTCAGCATTTTTTTGAAATTCAAGAATATAATAATTTATGAAGCTAAGTAATACCTCTGATTTACATTTTTCAGAGTCAGCAGATGTTGACAGAAACCTTAATACGATCAAACCAGTAAGACTTGCACCATTCAAAAAGATGCCATCGACTAAAAGATTAGATAAAAATGAATATGAAGAAAGTTTTGATTCGGATCTGTATGAGATTGACACAATTGATGAAACTGATGAAAGCAAGGAATCAAGTGTTTCGGATGAAGAAGTTGCGATAGATTCGTCGTTTTCGCCAAATTTCAAGAATTCAATTTGTTTACAACAATCGCCAAAGAGAATAAAACATAGCGGTAGTGATGATGATGCTTCGTCTTATTTTAGTACCGTTGATTCTGACTCGTCATGTTCAATGGAAGCTGATATACAGTATGAGAATGAGATGACACCATGTTCTTCTGCTGTGGTTATTGAGAAAAGTAAAGAAGTTTATGACGTTGCAGAAGGTATTTTGGAACTTTTTTTATTGAAAGATTAATAATATACTATTGGTTCTGTTCGAAGTTTTTAATTTCAGTTTCTCATTATTTCAAAACCATTGATGAATTGTTTCTTTTTTCAAATTGTTTCTGAGATCAATTTTAGATGAAGGTCATGGAGATTGTCAAGAAATTCGGTGCATAAGTCGGAAATCATTTAATTCAGTATGTTCCGATGCAGAAACTTCTTTGGACAAGCCAGAAAGTTCCTCAATGATATATAGATCATGTAATAAATACGCTAGTCCTGATAATGATTAAAAAATATATGGAAGTAGAATTGATTTTGGTTCAAATTTATGCTACTATTGCCGTTTGATGTGATGTGGCAGGCAGCATTGAATGATGAAGCTTTTTTTATAAAATCATTCGTGATATGCTACCTGATTCATCACAGTTATTTTTTTTTTTTTTATTAATTTGAAAGTTATGTACCACTTTTTCAGCAAAGTGGGTTCCGAATACTCCAAATGGGGATACTGAATATTCTGATCCAGTAAGGTATAATTAATTTTTATTTTATTTTTATCTCATATGGATGGACTTGCAAATTTTTCTTTTTTTTATTGTAAATTGTAAATTTTCAGATGGACACCAATAAATTCATTATACTGCAACAGTCTAATGGTGTTCGGCATGGAAAATAAAGCTGTTCAATGCGATCTTACAGCTTACAGTCCTAATAATGGAATTTTAGAGTACAGTGAAAATGTGACCAAGAATGATGTAATAACCCGACCTATTTCATGCGATTCAACTGCTAATCCTATTCAGGTGTTTGAATCTGTTCACTGCAGTAATCCTTCTTTTGCACAAGGTAATGAAGAAGATGGTGGAACAAAAAAGGGACAAAATGAGCAAACGGTATCAAATGACAGAGGTCAGAGTAATGAAAGTGTCAGAGATGACCAACAACTACCGACTGATGCAACGGATGCTAGTAAATCATCATTACGAGGCGATCAAGAAGTATGCTTTTATTTGATTATTTTATTGACTGATATTATCATTTATTGCGCATCTTAAGAAGGTACTTCATTGTTTGAGTCATTTTGATTTGATTTAAAAGTAATTTTGGAAAATAAAGTTATTTAGTGTGATTTTACAACTTTCAATCGTAATGATGATTTTTAAAGTTGAGGATACTAAAGATTACATTATTATAATTCGATAATGTAATTTTTACATAAATTTAGGGTGATGGTAGTGGTGGTGAGGGAAATGGACCTATAGATGAAGAGAAGCGACGAAAACGTGTACGCACTCGTAAAGATCGTGCAAGAGATGGACTGCATGGAATGCTTGATGCGGAACATCGTGCACTTCAAATAAAGTGTATGGCGCATGTCATTTTTAATGATTTTCAACAGCGTATGTTTATGTATCAAGATAAAGTAAGAGCTCTATGCGAGCTAATCGCTGAAGGTTCGATGTCTCCGGAGGTGAATAATTTTCATTTCTTTTTTTTTTTTTACAAAGTATTTTGATTTTATAATGTAAATTGATGAAATTTCATATTTTAATTTGTCGGAGAATTTCAGATGTTCGAAAGGATGCATGATATTTTCGAAAAGGAACATGAACCGATGTATTTTCTTCTCTCTTTTCTCTTTCCGCAAAATTTACTTCCAACAAGTGTTCTTGAAAATCCAATTCGCAAGGCGTATAGTAATGCATTGGAGATGATATACAATATTGAGGTTTTTATTTTAAAATTAAAAATTTTTCTGTAAAGTGCATGAACATGGTATAAGATTACATGATCTGGTACTAAGAGTAGCTATAAGAAATTTGGATTACTATAGTCTTTATTGAAAAGTGTGAAATTTGAAGTTTACTTTGTGATTCTTTTTTTCAAGTTAGGAAATGCTCATATTAGAGGTCATCAATTAATTAAGCTTTCAGCTTACGAAGCCTTCAGCCTTCTGCTATTAAAGACGAATTTGAATTTGTTAACTTCTTTCTCACCGCACCAAGTCTTTTCTTGCAGGCATTCACGTCTTTTGGAAATACGAGATTGTCCGCGCGCACTATATTCCGTAACGTACGTGATCTTGGTAAGGATGGTTTTTCTCCTGCTTTGATAATAACCCTTTCTGCTTTCCATTTGGAATATTTTGTTCATTTGCAAGAATCTCTTATACAATTATATATATATATATTTCAAATTGTCTGGTTTCTTTTCCTTGTTTGGAAGAATTTCAAGCATTTTTGAACCAACTAGGAATTGGTTTTTAGGATTCAATTGTACCTCTGAAGCCTTAACAACTCGTTTATCCGAGTTGATTGGCAATAAGGGTCCATTATGGGAAATTATTTCGCAAAATATTCCAACTCGTATTTGTCAGTCGAAGTAATTTTAATGTTATTATTGTATTTACCTTGCTATTCTTGCTGTATTTTTATTTACATAATAGTTTTTCTTTGAAATAATAGGTTTGTTGATCATCAATAGTTCGTCAACATACTTGAATATCTGTAAATTATCGAAATGAAAGTCTTTGGTTGGAATTTCAAAGAACAGAGATTTTTTGGAATATATAAATAATATTTACACAAATTTCAGTTATTCCGAAGCAGATTTTGAATATGTTGATTTATGCAGTTGGAAGAAAGTGGACGCCCCTTTTGAAAATGTCGATCTTACGACAGCGATTGGTGCTCAAACGGAGAAACATCGTTCCGGCGTTTTTGTTGGATTCTTGCGCAATCTCTTTACTGAACGGAAGTGAATTTTTTTTAATAAATAAATGCATTTTATCGTCTTGTTTACGTTGGTAATGTGACAGTGCCTCGATTTTAAGCTGCAACGTGTTTTTTTTTTTTGTAAAATAAATGCAAGAAAATCGAGATAGTATTCTTATTAAACAAATTTTTGTTTTTTTTTTTTCAAACTTAATTCTAATTTAGCATATTTCAGAGGTAAGCTATATGAGGTTGTAGCAGAATGGAAACAAACAAAAATTACTCCATCAATTCCTCCACGCCGTCGACCTTCAGTAAGGAAAGTAAAGAAGCGTAAATACAAAATGCCAAATAAAGTGGAAATTATGAAGTTACCGAAAGCAGCAATTCCGAAAGAGACAGCAGATATCAGTCAACCAACTGCAGGAAATCTAACGAATGATATTTTGAGCATTATCTCTCCAAGGAAGAATACTGCAACTTTGCATTTCGTTCGAAAACGTCCCATACAACCAGCAAAAATAGCTGAAACGAAGAAAAAACGAAAAAAATGCGAAGAAATTGTAATAAAACAAGGAAGTATTTTGACCGAGAATGATGATATCAGTAGAAATTTTAATGGAACTTCTGGAAGTGGTGCTGATATTGCATTGGAAAATGTTGCAGAATCTAAAGTTGTTAAAGCTGATTTAAATATGGATCCTTTGTGCAAAATTAACCCTAGCGAAGAATTTGTTCAATGCAGCATACCTTGTTCAGTTATGATGGATCCAATAAGGAAATGGACAATTGAAGAAGATCGAAAAATTTTGTATATTCATAAAGAAAACGGGTCTGATTTTGATCTTACATTGGCATCAGTTCAGTTAGAATTACCCGAAATTCCTATTGATGAGTTGAAGCAAAGATTAGCATTTTTGCTTAGCATTTTAGAGCGTATGGAAAACACTGCTAATAAGTAAGTATGAATGATAAATTTTGCAATCTGATTTATTTTTATATTATCATTCAGTATGATTCGGCAAATTGTGGCTATTAAGATAGCTTGTAGATCAAATACAATTTCAAATTTGGTTGACAAACAAAATATTTGCACATTTTAATGTTTTAATTTTCTGTACATTCTTATGTTGATCTCATTTTCACTTTTTTTTATCTGTTCTCATTGATTTCTGGTGAATTTTGGCAAAAGTATTCAATTTTGCAGTGGATATGTGTGTGTGTCTTTTACGGTGACTATTGTAAAGCATTTAGAATTGAAATTTATATTAAGCTCTTTTTTTTTTCATTTTAAGCTGTTTTTTTTTTAGATATTTCAAAAAAAATATTCACTTTAATAATTTGATAAATTTTTTAGATTAATATTATTGCAAAGAAATTTTTTGGTTGTATTAACTTTGTGTTAACATTTAGAATATTTTAGGAATTCCATTTATTTGCGCTGTTGTTTTTATGTCTATTTCCCAAAAATGAAACACTTTGATGGTTGATTTTAAAACATGATGAAAGATACTGGTATTTATCGATGGCATGACTGAAAAATGTTGTTTCTATTTAGAAATTGCAATGATGATGCAAGTTATAACGTATGATTATATAAATAGAAAAGAGATATTTATGGGTTTCTCCTTTCTCTTTCCTTTTCCAATAAAAGATGAAATATAAATTTTTATTAAAAAAAAAGAATGGGAATGATTATTGTCACTATTTTTTATGCCATTTTTTTCTTCTGCTTATAACCACTTTGTGGCTCATATTGACTAGGCGGTGCTGGTGGTGCCTTTTGTGGATGAAGTGGTGGACATGGGCAATAGATTGCATCTTTTCCAGGCATTCCAGGAATACCAGGCTGCAAAGAAATGGGAAATCGTGAAATGTAAATCTGAACAGCTTCAGAAATACACTAAAGCTGGAAAAGAATTTGAGAAAATATGAAAATGGAAATCATAAAACTTGGAAACTTACAGAAAAGCATAAAGGAATGTGGAACTTACTATGCCTGGTTTCCCATCTTTACCATCACGTCCTTTGGCACCAGGTTTACCATCTAGTCCTGGTTCACCCGGTGGTCCGGGCTCTCCGTCCTTACCGTCCTCGCCTTTGGGACCTTCTGGTCCGCGTTGTCCGTTTGGTCCTTTCTTGCCTTGTGGTCCAGTTCCACGTTTGCCATCTTTGCCATCACGGCCCGGTTTTCCCTTTGGACCATCAGGGCCAATCTGACCAATATCACCTTTTGGACCGGTTGGACCCCTTTGACCAGGCTTGCCACTCTTTCCTGGTGCACCGGGTGGACCTTTCGGTCCAGGTAATCCTGGTTGACCTACTGGTCCGACTGGTCCCGGTTTGCCAGGAGGACAATCGATACAACCGCCTGGAATGTTATAAGTTGCTAGCAAAGCAACTCCTGGTGTTCCAGGCATACCGTCTTCTCCTGGTAATCCATCTGCACCTTTCTCACCAGGTTTACCACGTGGTCCTGCTGGTCCTTCTGGACATTTCTTAGGTGATGGTCCACAATCTAAAAAAGCTCCATTAAAGAGTGAAGAATTTCTTAAAATTAAAATGATTTCAATAAAATGCACACTATGATAAAGCACCTTGATTAAAATAAAACTTACTGCATTGATTGTTTTGCCTTTTAGCTCGAAATACAGAAATATACGGGAAAAGTGATCGTTTGATATTATCGTATGAATTTACATTTACGTATGTAATTTCACGCCATGTGTCCTCTGCTGTCATCTGCAAATTTACATTTTACTCAAAACTACTTAATACATTAAAATATCTTAATATTTCTATATAAAATATTTTTACGTCATTTTTTGTTATTGAAAAGTTAATTACTTTGAATTCTTCCATTTCCATCATTACATTAGTATTGAGTTCATTGATATCATGAAAAATCAATGCAATAGCAATTAGCGATAATATAATACAACAAGCACTAGCGCTTGTTGCCACAGCAAACGCTGTTTTCATATTTTATATTTTCTGAAATAGATGAAAGAAGAAATTAATTTTGAAGTTAAAAAAAAAGGAATGATAAAATGACTGTTTGTATACAAAATGATACAAATGATTGTCTAAAATATATACAAAAATTGATTGTTAGTAAATTCTATACCTTTCATAAGATAAGTAAGTAATAATTTTACTTAGATTAAGCTAACAATCAAGAAAATGTATTAATTAATTTACAAGAATGAAATCTCGAAAAAGTTATTTAAGCGAATACTAACATTCCAAAAACAATGCAAAAATTACCATGTTTTTTAATGTATATAAATAATAAATGAATGAAATAAATTATCAAAAATTCTAATTTCCAGAATTTCTTTTCTTTAGAATTAAATTGTGTGCATAGAGATTTATAAGAGAATGTAACTAATATTGAAATAATCAATTTGTGATACAATTGCAAAAGAAACAAAATTATAAAAATTTTGTTTGATTGAATCTCAAATTTGCTCACCGCATTATAAATAATACATTTTTGGCAATTTTATATTTATCAACTAAATAATTTAAAGTGAAAAATACCACCCTAAAATGAATCATTTTCATCATTTGATAATATAACATAAATATTTTGCAATATTCTCTAATCAGTTTTAAATTTACAAATATTTCAAAACTAGCATTTATCTGTTATGAATGAATGAGAGAAGTTATGTGATTAGCTTTAAAATGAAATAATAAAACATTGCTATATATGTTGCAAGAGGCATTTAACAGGTTTCTTATAAATGATAAATTTAGAACAAGAAATTATGTGATAGATTGTAGACTTGTTTTTATGGTAATTTAGTAAATAATAGTAAAAATTGTATGAAATTTAAAATTTCTATTTAACTATAAATTTCTTTTTTTTTTTTTTATTTTTGAAAAAGTGAGAAAAATTTTTAACAAATGGCTATTATAGTTGGACAATTTGAATGAAAATATTACACTGATATGAGTAATTTGAGATTGTATAATTTTTTGAATGCGGAAATGTTTATAAAAAAATAAAATATATGTTAAAATGATTAAAGTTAAAAATATTTTAGAGATTAAATGATAAAATGAAAGAAAAAATTTAAAATAAAGTTTCTGAATTCATTTATCATAACATATAGCAAATTATTACATTGGTAGAAAGGCATGCAAATATGATAAAATCGATTATAATATCAAATAAATAGCTGATAATTAAAATTTTTTTCATTATCAATTATCCTCTATACTCTTATCACTAATCATAACATAAATAATATGAAATACTACGAAGTTTAAATGATGACAATATTAAAGTAATATTTCATCAAATTATCAGTAATAAAAGTTGCCAATTTTTGGTATGAAATTCAAAATTTCAATAGAATTTTTGCATTTATTTTATTGAATTCGATTCAAAAAAAAATTTTCCAAAGTTGATATCTGCATGAATAATTATTATTTCTATGCTGTAACATTGTTGCATTCATAGTTTTTCTTAATTCTTATCGCTCAGAATTAGCTTTTTTTCTTTTTTGTTATATAAAATTCAATTTCCAATTTACCTAATTGGTTTAAGATTAATTTGTTTAAAGCAAAATAAGCAAAACGATTAATATTATTTAAGCACTTACTAGTAAACAAATTAAAATGGCAAATAATTCTGAATTACCTATTATTTTTTTTTTTTTATTGTTAAAATGAAGAAGCAAATATTGATAACAGAAAACTTATCATTGCTTATTGTTATACTATAATTCTATTGTTTTTATTTTTGTAAAACTATCAGTTCATTAATTTATTCAATTTATTTCCTTCAGCATACCATTCTAAGTTTACAACCTGAATTACCTATGAAACTATTCCGTTTTTGATCGTTTCCGAAATTCCGAAAGTTGTAACATCCGTATTTGCCTGCTATCCAAAACCGGTTGCTATCAGTTTGAATTCCAGAAGCTGTCAATAGTATCTGACAGGATGGTAGTCAGATATAAGCCGGAATATTGTATCTCTAAATTTATATTCCCGTCTCTTCAGCAATATTTAATCTGTATTCTTATCACTAATCCATCCATAATTTGTTATATTTTTATCTTTCTTTATATTTTTCGAATAGTTTTAAAATTAAAACTTTAATCGTTTCTTTTAAATCCCACCGAATAGAAGAAGCTGCAGAAAAGATCTCGTGAAAATCACAACAAATTAATGTTTCCGATTAGTTATTTCATGATACTTAAAATTCTTCATTTCAAAAAAATTAGAGAAAAAAAAGTGTAAGAATTATTTTCAGATCATTTTAACTTTACTTGAATGAATTTATTAGAACACTGACATACAAGTTAATAGATATTTAATAGATTGTGTGTTTTATTCAGAAAAAGAATGGTTAATCAGGAAATTATTTATGTGTGACTTACTTCCATATGAAACAAATCAAATCTACTCAATTAATCTAAATTTTAACAAAATTTAGAGATAATTAATTCTAACAGAATTTAGAGACGATTAGAAATTAGAATTAAAGAATATTTATTAAGAAAAGGAACTGCGCATAATTTTGTTAATATTCAAAAACTCTTAGAAAGCTATGAATAATGAATATTTTATTTTCTGCCATAATATCACCTTCGAGATGATATTTTCGAAACGATATTGAAAATTTCTTATTAGATCTCTAAAATTTTCCATTAATGATAATGACAGGATGACAATTTGTCGTGTAGTTAATTACAAATGCACAAACATCTCTATTTTGATTGATCCAGTGATCAAGTGATCGAGTGATCGGATGTCAAGTTCAAGTGATCGAGTGATCGGATGTCAAGTTAATCGAGACTATTCATATATTGTGCCACAATGACTGTGACGTGAATTGACCTTATGACATGTGTTGCTAACATTTCTGCTTGCTATTTAGCACCTTTCTCTTTTCAAAGATTTGTAATTAATATCTGCATAAGCACATTTCATTAATAATAAGCAAGAACTGATTTCATTTTAAATTCATTTTAACACAAAAACTTGCATATAGAATATTTTGTTAATAGTTAATTAAAAATACTATTTTTTCCGCCATCTTTTTGAAATTTTTTTCGCACTTTTTTCATGTCTTCTGTAAAATGAAAGAAAAAAAAAAAAGAATTCGTTACATCAGTGCAAATTTTTTTTTTTTAACACCACTTTTTTCTTTTCTCTGAAACTATTTCAAAGTATATTTTAGTGTAACATGAGTAAATAAGAAAACTACTGTTCATTACTTATTAGTTTAATTAGATAAGTGAAACTATACTGATGCTATCAACAATATACTGTTTGAAATATTGACAGAATGAGAAAAAAAAGTGAAGTATTTTTAGTGATATACCAGTAATAGTCAAATATATGTATGTCAAATTGCTGTATTCCTATTTTATTATTGCATTTAGGATGATGTTACTTTTTTCGCTTATTACATCATTTTTCAGCATCAGATAACTGATACTGAGATCCTGAAGTGTCATAAGTAGCGAAGAAATTAATACTATACAGTTTTGAACTAAGAGGATTATTATTAAAGGAAAAGATTATGATCACAGAAGAGAAAATTAGAAAGAAATATTTGGTGGATCGATTAGTAAAAGTAAGTGTTTATAAGATTAGAACCATTTTGATAAGGCAAAATTTTTTGCACTGACCAAGCAGATTTCATGACAGCATTTCTATGCAAAATGACCAGTTCAAAATTTCCATATAACCAGGTCAGATATAATCGGATTGTTTGATGAACACAGGAATCCACTAAATATACCATTTTCATGTTTGATAGTGATGAATTTAACGCCATTATTTGTAGTTTTCAGTATTATTTCTTTATATCTTGTTTGAAAAATCTTTTACAAAACTACAAATTTCAATATCACTCTTCCATATGAAGTTTGTCCACTAAACTAATCGAATCTCGATAACACTAAACACTAAACTCAGGTGTCATAAGATTTTATTAAGAACCTCCAATTACTTTGGAACTTTTATATTTTCAAAATTTGTGCTCAAGGACCTCACTATAACTATAGCAAAAACACAATTTTTAAAATCCAGGATGTCTAAGATTCTCCGATTCTACAAATCAGCTATAACAGTTTTATATAGTCTACCAAATCAGGTTTTTTAGGGTCTCTAATCCTTGTTTACTGGTTTACAGCCTTTCACGTGTGTACTTGAAATAGCATTTTCTTAACTGGATTTCAACCAGATTGTCTAAAACTTGTATCTCAATAAAGATGGACCTAATTCTTTACGAAGGGAATGCGAAGACCAAAATATTTCAGAGAATGTGAATTTAAGTCTTTTTTCTTTGAAGCAACCAAAAATTGCGGTATAAGCTTACTGCAGATTCAAGATTTCGACACAAATTCGTCTGGATTATGTGGACACCTGATCATGATAGTGACAATTTTTACACCACTTGATGAAAGTGTAAAACTACTACTCAGAAGAGTCCCAAATATCTTATATCAAAATGCAAAATATTTTACTGAGATTGAAAATTGTGAACACCACTAATTTTACAAAAATTCTTTACAACTTCAGCTGCGTAAATTCTGTAAATCCATTAATACCTATTTTAGATAAACGCCAAAGTGAAATTGTTAGGAAAATATTTATTTTGAAAGAAAATAATGTATAAATTACCATGAATATGCAAATTTAAAAGGGATGATAAAAGGAAAAAACTTCGTACTTCTGTATACCAAAAGTTTCCATCCAAATCACAAAATTAGGCACTTCTAAACTAAATTGAATTCTATTTATCTGAAAACTAAATTTTTTCTGGAAAGGAATACATTAAAATTACAAACAGATATAAAAATAATAATCTAGTGTTTGCGAACATACTCTTGGTATTCGCTATTCTCATTATTGTTTTTCTCATGGCAGACATTTTCCGAACTTCATTGGAAGAGAAATTTAACGTTTGAATCAGCTCTAATACTCAGCAGAATATTGAAAAGCATGAAAGATGT